TGTCTCACTGTGCCATAACCTGAGGCCAATTAACTTGAAGTGGAACAACTACAATGAATCATTAGCTGCATCTACTGCAAGGAAAGTTGGTTCACTATATCATGCCAGAAGGTATTTCTCATCAGAGTCGATCTTATACATCTACAAATCTACCATTGTATTGAATAGTGTTGCCATATCTTGTCTGGTGCACCTATCATTATCTTGAGATTCTCGACAAAATCCAAAGAAGGATCTGTTTATGTAATCATTCTTGAATTGGCTTCTTGATTTCAGGCACTTTCTCATAGGCATAATATAGTTTCCCTCTGTCATTTCTACAAATATTTTCATAGCTACTGCTCTGATGAGCTTTTTTCTCTAGTGCTACGACTACATGCATTTAAGTGTGCTACTAGATTGGCATTTAGGTCCCACCCATTTACTGTTGAAATAGTCAAACGTAACTACCACTTCTACTTCAACAGTTTCTTTCCTCGTACTTTCTGACATTGGAACTCCCTTCCTCTCACTTGCTTCTCTGATAACTACAATCTTCAAAAATTAAATGCAACATCAATCACCATCTTCTGTTGTCTTGATCCCTGTCCTTTTTCCTTTCCTCAACCCCCCCCCCTTAAACCCATTGTTTTCTCTTACTTTCACTTTCTGTAACCCCCTGCATGCTAGTGGCACTCCTGCCTTGCTTGGGGTGAAATACTTTAAAAAAAAAAAAAATACATTATTCCACTATGCTTTGAATAAAAAGATGTTCAGTAAAACTGATTATCAATACATTTTATTCATCTTGTTTAAATAGCCATGTGGCAGTGTTATAATTGAATTATCATTCTCAGATATTTTCTGCTAATATTTTCAATGAATAACAAAATTTAGCTTAGACAAGAGGGTGGTGAAATCTTTACAAAATCTTACCAAATGCCCAAACATCTGAGAACAAGTAGAAAAATCTTTTATAAATTAACATGTTTCACTAATTTAGCATCATCAGAAATTTTGGCAGGAAGTGAAATAATTCAGAGATAGATTTCAATTTTTAAATTCTATGTTTTATTTTCATTAATTGTATGGACATCTTGTGCCATTTGTGTTTATGCTTAATCCTAATAGATTATATATATATATGGTATCAAATGACAATTGGAAAAAAATCATACATTTTGCCGACGCGTTTCGTCTTCCGACTTTTTCAAGGCAAAAATGAAATCGAAATGTTTTTGTTGTTATAGTTACATTAAAATTCAAAATTAAAAAGATAGACGCTTGTGTCTAAGCCTTTTTTTCTGGTTAATGTAAATTACCTTTATAGTAAGGGATTATTATTATTTTTTTTTTTTCCATGTCGACAATATAGTTAAAGTCTTGTCCACAGAATTCATCTGGGAATTTAACTATATATATATATATATATATATATATATATATATATATATATATTAATTATCTATATATGAGAGAAAGACATCTACTAGTGATCTGTTAATTTTTACCTGACAAAGGAGTTGGGAAAACCAAGAAAAAGCAGGAGATGATGCAGATATAAAATGTGTATTTAGACAGCAGACTGGGGTCTGTAATATAATCAATCCTGATCTGGCATCTTGACTCCAGTCACTTTCTCACTGACGTGGCTTCCTTCTGTTTTTTCTACAAATATTTTCATGGCAAATGTTGTGATAAGCTTTTTTCCTTAGAGCCTCGACTCACATGAATTTAAGCATACTACTAGATTGGCAACTAGGTCTGTTTTACTGTTGAACTAGCTAGATGCAACCATTTCTTCTGTTCTAACAGTTTCTTTTCTCGCAGTTCTTATCTGTGGAACTCGGTTCCAATTTCTTGCTTCCCTCATATGTACAATGTTCAGAAATTTAAATGCAACATCAATCATCATCTTCAGTCTTCCTGAACTCTGTCCCTTTATTGTCCTCTCCTCATTCCTCCTCACTAAAATCTTCTCTTTATGCAGGGGGTTACAGGTAGTCTTTCACTCCCTGTAACCCCTTGCATCCTACTGGCATTACAGTATTGCTCGGAGTAAAATGATTATGAAAAAAAAAAAAAGAAAAAAAAAGTAATCATTTATTAATGCATATTTTATTAAAAAAACAGAGAGAAAGAATGATTAACATTTTCTTTGTACACAAGGACATAGGTCCCAGTTTAATGTATGTAAATACTAACCAAACATTTTAAATCTAGCCCTTTTGGTCATAATCTAGAGACCTTAAGATTTAAGGACATAATCTATGGATCTTAGTCATTTTTTAATTTCCACTTGTGACATAACACTTAAAGCAACTCCCTTCCCTATTCCAGTTTCCCTGAGAGCTATAATCTCCAGCTATTCAAATGTAATGTCAATCGACATCTCCAGTTGCCTTGATTTATCCACTACCCTTCTCCTCATCCTTTCTTCTATCACTCCTATCTGATCTTGCTCCAAATTTTCAGTAACCCCTTGCATCCTAGTGGCTTCCCGCCTTGCTTGGGGTGAAATGCTTAAAAAAAAAAAAAAAAAAAAAGAAAAAAAAAAAAAAGAAGAAAAAAAAAAAAAAAAAGAAAAAAAAAAAAAAAAAAAAAGAAAAAAAAAAAGAAAAAAAGAAAAAAAAAAAGAAAAAAAAGAAGAAAAAAAAGAAAAAAAAAAAAAAAAAGAAAAAAAGAAAAAAAAAAGAAAAAAAAAAGAAAAAAAAAAAAAAAAAAAAAGAAAAAAAAAAAAAAAAGAAAAAAAAAAGAAGAAAAAAAAAGAAGAAAAAAAAAGAAGAAAAAAAAAGAAGAAAAAAAAAGAAAAAAAAAACATCCAAGTGAATTAGTTATTAAATGAAAGACATTGGACAAAGGACTGTTGGATGGCCGTGGCCTAGGTATAAAGACAAGCTAAAGAGTAAACTCTCATCTGTCAATGTGCCTCATGCTAACTTCGAGTGAGTTTCCCTGAATAGAAATAGCTGGAGGTATTTGTGCCAGTGTAGCATCAGAAAATTTGAAATCAGTCATACTGCCTGGCTTAAGAGATGAAAGATAATGGCAAAATGCATTAGCAAATATTGCACAATATGTGGACTTGTATACATTTCACTAGTGGGACGAAAGTGTCACATACGACAAACTGAATGAGGTTGTTGGATCCTTATAAGTTGAAATTGGCAGGAGAGTCCATCATATATATATATATATATATATATATATATATATATATATATATATATATATATATATATATGACAGGATAAAGAACAATAGGAAATGTTTAATCTAACATGTTTTACTTTAAGCTTCATCAAAAAATGAAATATGGAGAAGAAAATAAAATTCTGGTATTTTAATTTTTGTGTTGTTTGCTTTTCATTGGTTAAGCAGACCTCCCATGTATTTGTCCTGTCAAGTAGCACTCTAGTATAATTCATGTGTATCATAATTCTAGTTTGACTATGTGGGATTCGGTTTATAATGTGTATGTGTTTATGTGTGTGTCTTGCAGGCATTTTTATGTATGTTTGGCAATTGATTGGTGGATGTTTTAAATTTATAAACATTTTTTTTTTATTTGTTCATAATTCTATTATTCTGTCAGATTCTAATATATATGTTTTTCAAAATCCCAGTATCCAGAAAGTGAAGATCCTCTTTTACTTGGGATTCTTGATTTTTATAAAGGACTTCGAAGTTTCATAGTTATGCAATTGATATGTGAACACAAATATTCACATGTACATATGTAAAGACAAACAAACAAATATGCAAAGTATACAACACATGCACAATCCACAATGCATGCATGCATGCACACATAATATGAAGGAGGTGATGAAAAGTTCTTTGCCTGATCAAGAAGCCCTTTGCAAAGTAACAATAATTCTTTTTGGTCTTTTGGTCAGATTTAGAAAGTGGGCTGGGCTAAGAACTTTTCAGCACTCCCTTGTACATACATATAATATACACATATACACAATCCATACAATTTCATAACAGATATAAAACACATTAACATATACAAATAACACACACACATGCATATAATGTGAGAAGACAAGGAAAAATACCTGACCTGAACAAGAAGCTTTTCCAAAATATAAATTTAAAAAATTATCTGTTGTTTGGGCTTTTGGTCAAGTGACCTCAACCAATAAATTTTCAGCACCCTCTTGTACATATATACATACTGGCACATGATATACACACAAATACTTACATTAACACAAACGTGTATATATATCTATGACCCAACATCTACAGAATGAGTACATTGTCATATTGTAACACGGACATGGTTCTGGTTGAGTCATACTGGTGCAAGGAATATTATTAGTGACAAGGTATTGTGAGACTTAATAATACTGAAAGAGTAGAGATATTGGAAAAAGAAAATATGGGAGAGTGGTTAATCAGATTGATGTCTGAGGAGGGAAAAAAAGTTTAGTTTAAAAATATTCATTTAAATCTATAAAATACTTATAAAGAAGACCTTGGAAGAATTTGAACTCAAATTAATCTAAGTAAGATTTAGTAAGATTCAGCGTGACTGACATCTTCATAACCCCAAAGTGAATGAGTTTGCTAAAAGTTCATAGGATTTTTGGTAACTTGAGAGTTTGCTTGTTTAGCAACCTATCAGTCATATTCATTTTAAGTAAAATTTTTGAGACTTAGAAATCAAGGACAAATTTGCAAACCACTTTATGGTTTGCTCATCTAAGTTAAAGAGTTTTTTTTTGAGAATTAAATCTATTTCAGGCTGAAATCTATATAAATAAAATATGCATGTGCAAAAAAAAGAAAGTCATCCAAAGAAAAGTGTGTTGTATTTGGTGACCAGCATCAATACGAGTCATGTCTGGCATTTACAGCCAGGGGTTGGGTTATAATATAATTAAAATTATATATGACCAAAAATGGAAGGATCCTTTGTCATTGGCGATAGGCTTCACACAGGATCATAAATTCTGAAAAAGATCTTTCCTTACACCTAGCTGGCTAAAATCTGATGAAAATCATCTCACCTGCACTTCTGTACTTGATCCAACACGAGAGAGTGGAAACCAATGATCTTTGCCATGATATTTGTGCAATTCTTCTTTACGTAAAGAAACTTTACCAATAACCTGAAAAGAAAAACAAAATAACAGTGAGCATGTCCAACTGACAATTTCAAAACATAAAAAAATGAAAAGAAATTCTGATAATCTTATATATAATCTTATTTATAACATCACCTAAAAAAAAAAAAAAAAAAAAAGATAGCTATGCTCAATTTTCAAAAACATGACCAGAACAGATAATTATGACATTGTTTTTTGCAGTTTATCAACCTTTTGGCATGATTATTTAAAGCCAGAAAATATTTTTAGATTGTAATAATTTTTTGGAGATAATAATTACTTTTACTGATACAAGATCTACTAATTAATCCATAGCTAGGGGGAGAAGAGGTGGACTCATACCTTGCCCAAGGGTGCATAATTAAGTATAACAAACCCCACTGGAATTGGAACTTGGCTTTACGATTTCTAATTCCAAGCTGTTATCAATCACCCCATCTACACGTCCAAGGTTATAGCACACAGTATTCTCAAGTGGTCACCCACCTAGGTATTGACCAGGCTTGACATCGACTTTAATAATCATACAAGAATTAGTGTTTCAACATGATATGACTGTAAGTCAATAATTATGAGATTGGAATTGCAATATTCCAGTGTAAAAAAGATTCTTGATAAGAGAGCAGCAGGGAGATTTAGCTTCATACCTTTCCCGAGAGCAATAATTAGTACAAAAGTGATACAGTCTTAAATGAAGTTTTGGTTCGCAAAATTCCACTTTCCATACTTCTAATCACCAGCCTAACTTACTCTTCCCATTTGGAAGACATTATTTCATCAACATTTGATTTCTAAATAGAAAGCATCTCTCTAATTTTGCTAAGAATCTAGTAATGTTCTTAAAATGGTGTTAATGTATTTTGTTCAGTAAATTATCCCAAGCATAGTCATGCATATATATTCTGTATATTGGGGAAAAAATCATTCTTTTATACATAAATATGACAGGAAAAAAATAACTGATGAGTTTTTTTTTTTTTTTATTTAAATGTTCTTGTGTCCTAACAAGTCTCCTTTTTCAAGGACTGAGTTTGTGGAAAAATTGTCCATAATGTTGATTTTCCTGAGTGCTTCCAGCCATTTCCAAGGGAGTGGGGCAATTTTGATGATGATGATGAAGATTATTAATATAATTTTTGTCCATTTTCTATATTGTATATATTATATATACACACATACATATAATCTGACAATTTAATTCATGAGAAGACCACAGCATGTAACTAGGGTAATGAGTCTGGTAAGCATTTATACCCAAGCACATCCAAACAAATTTCAACATCCCATTTCTCCACCAAGACAACTACATTATTGAATGGCATTCTGGAAAACAATTTCAAAGAATGTTTCCAGCAATGGCACAAAAGGAGTATTCTGAAAAAGACAGCAGTCAATAGTGACCAGTTAATAAACTTTCTTTGCACAGGACCATTCCAGGAATTAAATTCTCACATATATACTAACTTAAAAGCCACCCAGAGAGTTTCTGCAAAGTGCTCTTGACTGGACTTTCATCACAATAGGTAGGGAAGAGTAAATGCAAAAGGCAACAATAAACTACAGAAGAACTCAAAATTGATCACTGCATTTACCTTTTAAGAGTTCAATGATAATTCTTCTCTAGCCACACAATTCAAATTTGATGTACATAGGTCCTTACTTTCCATACAAACAATTGTTTTTATTTCATGGGTGACTTTTGCTAAATTTAGCAATTAATTTTGATTATTCCCAAATTTATTTCCAAGTTATAAAAATTGTTATCATACAAAAAAAATTGTCACAAAAAATCATGTTTAAAAAAAAAAATGCCAAAAATAAACAGTCATGAAAACTTGCAAATCCAAAACTTCAGGATTGCAGGTCTGGATCCAGCCCAAAATGTTTTAATTTGTTCAGTCTGATTCCAAAATGGTATGATGTATTGGGCTACAGCCTCTAGAATTAAAGTTGAAAAAATGTGGCACAGTGTCACACTGACACATTTACTATACAGATATAATTTTGGAAAAGTTTGTTTGCTAGACACAACCACATGGTTTCATGTAGAACCCTTAAATTTGGTATCAACGAAAAGGATGAATGGCATCACAGGAATACAAGTCACATATTGGCTCAGTGTCCTTCCACGGATGGTATTAGGCAGTTGCAAGCTTGGTTGTGGAAAGCATAGCAACACTTCAGAATTCTTGAGACCCTCTGTTGAATTTGTGTTTTGGACTTACATTCAAAACCCAGACAAAGGCAATCCATCACTGTCAGAAGGCACTCTGGCCAATTGCTGACCATTCTAACCCTGACCTTCACCTTTTGTAACACTATTTTTCTTATAGGATAATATTCTTCATTATACATTTGTTTCACCTTAATATAATAAATTAAGTGGAACTCCATTTTAGGACTATATATCGTTCAAAAAAAAAGTTTCAACAAAAAAAAGATTTGTCAAGAAACAGTTAAGTTATTCAAAAAGCATTCAATACAATTTTCAAAAAAGGGATATATATATATATATATATATATATATACACACACATACATACATATGTATACACACAAAGTATAGGATTGGTGTATACAGAATAAATTCCAATAACCAACAAATACTATTCTTAAAAGAGTGCTCACTACAGAGCAGAGCAAATAAAATCATTTATTCAAAAATTATAACATAAAAATGTTATTAAAATCACTACAAAAATAGCCATTTTGTTTCAACACTTCTGGTGTCTTATCAAGTGATGATGATGATGATGTGTGTGTGTTTGTGTGTGTGTGTATGCACACATAGGTACGGGTGGTGAAATATAAGTTTTGAATGAGAAATTTGAGAGCCAAGTTTGAATTCCAGTCAAGTTATAAATACTCTTGGGAAAACACATGACTAATGCTTCTCAGTTAATCTATGGATTAAATGGTAAGACAGACTCTGCTCTTTAGCCTTGGTTGTCAATCAGTCTAGGAAAAAGACAATTCTGAATTCAAAATGTGTACCAGTTTTCTGTATTCTTTTCTTCTGAAGTCTTATTATTTTACAGATGAAGATGTAATTATAAGGTATATGCTAACAGTTCTTTCTTTTACACTTCTAACATGTGGAACTCTATTCCAGCCTCTTGCTTTTTAAATGCAATGTCAATCTTTATCTTCTGTATTAATTTCTGTTCTTTTATTGTTCTCGCACCTAATAATGTTTTTCTTTTATTTTTATATATATATATATATATATATATATATATATACACACACATACATACACATTGTGTGTGTGTGTGTGTGTGTGTGTGTGTGTGTGTGTGTGTGTGTGTGTGTGATATGAATTCTCCCATCATCTTGCATGCATGTCCAGTTATTCAACTCCTAGCGTTGAGCAGTCAGATTACTGACACACATGATTTGGTCATAGTGGTTGTGCAGACCCATCCAGACGTTTTTTAATAATTTCACCCAAAGCAAGTTAATAAAGTCACTAAGACACAAGTGGTTACTGAGTGTGAAAGAATATAAAGTAATTTTTAATTTTTGAAAATCAAAGTTGGCTAGAAAGCAAGAAGCTGAAAGGTAGTTCCACAAGCAAGAAGTGCATGAAAAGATACTATTAGTATAGAACTTACAGTTACATTTAGCCACTTCCACTGTAAAATAATAAGATCTTGTTGCCAATCTAGTACAGCACTTAAATCCATAAATTCTAGGTACTACAGAGGAAAACACATCAGAAAAATTATCATGAAAGAATTTATAGAAAAGTACAGTGAAGCTACATTACGGTTGTGTGAATGTGACTGTAGCCAAGATTTCAGGGCGAATAATAATGAAGATTCTTCTCTGAATTTATCAAGGATCTTTAAATCTATAACAGGAATGCCAGACAGAATTTAGCAGCAATATTCAAATCATGCATGGATGACAGACTTATAAATATTTAAGATTTTAGAGAGAAAAATTCTCTAGCAGTAAATAGTTGCTTCATCAGCATAGATATCAAGTTTAGAACTGATGAAATCAGTCAATCCAATGATAGAGACCTGGGATATATCTGTGTAAATGCTAAATAACCTAAAAGAGTGGTCATTCAAGCAACTTTCATTTCAGGAGTATTGAAGAGGCTGGACTGTTTTGTTCTGCTTATGTAAAGTGTGAACAGACAAAATTTAGCTTTATATAAATATTTATTAAAAAAAAAAAAAAAAAAAAAAAAAAAAAAGGAACCATATAAATAAACAAATTTATGAAGAAAAAATTGCAATGAAGAAATACAAGTATATCAAGTCATCAGGTGTCACACAGGTTTTCTTTTATGTGGGTGATCATGGCTCTCCACAACTTCCCATCCTAAGCTAATATCTCTAAGTAATGTTTGTCTCCTTGCTATCTATACAAACTCATTAAGTAGACTATTTACAGTTTCCCCTCTTGCAGTTCATGTCCTGTGAATGTCAAATTCTCCAAGCCTTCTTTCCTCATTATGTGTCCCAGAAATTTCAATTCCCACTTTCCGATTCCAACTACAAGTATCCTTTTTGCTTCCATTTTCCTTGAAATTTAATCTTTGCTCATATGTCCCGTCCATGATATTCTCAGCATCCTTCTATGGAACTACTACTATCTCGCCTCGTCTCCTCTCTGATCTGTGAAGAAATCATCCAACATCAACAGCCATATCAGAATACTGATATTACACAGCAGTTCAGCACTCTAATATATGCAAATTGTTGATACTGGTAAACTAGAGAAAATTTTTTTAATTCTTTTCTTAATTAATTTTCTTAGGACTTAATAGAAAGTCATGAATCCAACTCTCCTTGTGTCATATCCCATCATGCCTCATTCTACATATGATAGACAGCAATCATACTAGGAACCAATATATATTCACAAATTTCAATCTAAGCATCTATATCATACAAACAAGTCTTGAGTAGATAATTACTTAAAAGAAACCTGTTCTTTTATTGTCTCTTATAAAGTGTCTCAGACTGATAATTAAGTTCATGACTGCT